ACTCTCAGTGTGTTTCTATGAGCTAAAGGGTGGTGAAGAGGCAGGGGCCAGAGGCAGACTCAGTCACTGCCCAGTGTCTGGCACATAGTAAGTGTTTGATAAATTTGTGTTGGATGTTGAATTGCCTGGAAGTCAGCTAGAGGCTGAGTTTCACCAATTCTCTTCCCCTCCTTCTTCTTTCCTGTATAGGAAGAAAGAGGCTGGCATGCTAGTTCTTAAATAGGAGAGGCCTTTCTCCTCACTTTAATCATACTGAACCTCTGGCCTAAGGAGCAGTGTTCAGAAACCAGGGCAGCTTTAGCGAGAGGCTGACCTGGGAGGATGAGCAGGTGTGCACCAAACAAGGTGTGCAGAGGGGAATTTCTCCTCTTGTATGGGGGTGGAAAGGTCAGCTGGGTGAATTCATTAAAGGAGGCCTAGACCCACCCTGAGAGACCAGGCACTGGCACAGACGGTGGGAGAGCGAGAGGGCTCCGGTCCTAAGAGCCTTGCAGAGTAAAAGCACTGATAAGCCAACAAATAGGTGAGACTGAGCAACACTGTGGCGTTCCCATTCAGTATTCCATCCTCACAGCAGTTGGGAGAACTGAGTATTGTAGTTCCATTTAACATTTGAAGAAACGAAGGTTTGGTAAAACAGGCTCTGGCAGAGCTATGACTTCAAAGCTCCATCTTTCCCGTACCTTAGGCTCCTCTAGAGAAATAAACAGGCACTGATTTTGGGTAGTTAGACCAATGTTCCCGAAAGCAAGGTCCCTGCATCACCTACATTAGAATTGCCTGAGGAACTTGTGAAAAATGCAGATTCCAGTGCCCCAACCCAGCCTTGCTGAGTCAGAATGTCAGAAGACAGGGCTGAGGATGACTCCTCATAGCTATTTCTCTGGCTGAAGTTGGAATAAGAGCCAAATGCTTCCCCAGGATGCCCTGTGGCTCATATTCTGCCTCTGATAGCTGTTAAAAATCATTTCAATTTTCTTTAAAGGGGCTTTAAAGGAAGGGTAGCAAGTTGAGAAATTTGCTTCTTGAGCAGAAAAAAATCTAGGAATAAGAAGTCATTCAAACAATGACCAGTCTAATCCAAGTTTGTTAGTGTATATGTGTTCTCTGGCCCCTTTTAAAACAGATGTGTTATAGCCCAACGTGTCTGCCATCGCCCTGTTGATGCTTAATGAGAACAGGAAAGCTAGTGGACCAGTGGCCCTAAGCAGCTTTTGTGGAATCTCAATCTTGCTTCTGTCCTGGTCTGATTCCACTGAACAGTTAATTACAAGGGGATTTCTAACCTTGCTCATAGAGTTTCTGTATCAATCAGGATGCCTTGGGAAAACCCTGCCTCAAATAGGCTTATCTAATAAGGAAACATTACCTCCCATCGTGAGAGGCTCATGTGGGTCTCCAGAGTTTGTTAATTATAGTGACATTACAATGAACAGACCAGGGTTCTTTCTGCCTGGCCACCCGTGTGCTGGCTTCATCCCAAGCTGGTGATAAGTTGGGCTGCAATAGCCCCAGCATCCTAGAGCCACAAACAGTCTCTGCCTGAGAGAGGAAACTTTCCCAGAAGCCCCCCACAGTGCTTCTCTCAGGCATCAGGCTGAAGTTTGCTCCTTGCAAGCTCATGCCTAGACCCACCACTGGTAGAGGGAGAGGGGAAAGTCACTGTTGGCTCTGAGCTGAAGCTCAAAGTATGGCTGGGACCGGTCATGAAACACAGAGAGGAAGATAGATGCCTTAACAAAACCAGGATTCTGCTCTGAAGAAGAAGGGAGCAGTGGCAGCTACTGTTTTGTTTTGTTGTTTTTCCCCCAGAAGAGAGCTGGTTACATACGGCTAATCCCAAGGGTATCTATTATCCCAAGTATGAGGATAGATTTACTGTGCCCACTGATCCAAGTGAAGGCTGAAATTAAGCCTCCTCTGCTCTCTGCACCTCCTGTCTACTTTACATTCTGGAATGAGTGTTCTGGAAGCAGATACAAGACAGTGGTTAGGGAGGGTGATGGCACACCCAAGGGATAAGTGCAGGTGTCTACTTTTTGTACATGTCCCATCAGTGCTGTCCAGGGGATACCCTTATCCTATATTGTCTTTTCAAAGTAAACCTTTGACACCTTTAAAATTATAAGATGATTTTCACAGAGCCTAGAGCTTCTTTCTCTGGCAGAACCAAGGAGAGGGCCTCAAATATATACTCAACCAAAATTTGTTGGGTAAATTAATGTGTGGTTGGACGATGGATGGAGTGTCTGACACACATATTACACAAGCTTTCCCTGTAGACAGACTTCTTTCAAACAATGCTGAGTGCTCTAAAGAATGCTGCTGGGGAGGTCAAGGCTGGGACTGTGGCTTTATGGACCTGTGACTTGGCCCAACCCCTTAGTATGCTTTGGACATGGTTCATGGGGAGAGATACTGTGGTCAACCCTGGCATCTGTTCCCTTACACCATGGGGGTGAGGACCGCAACAGCCAGCAAGTACTCTGCCTCAGTAGGCATCCCAGGCCTGTGTGCTTGTATCCAGGCTTCCCCTCCAGGGGCCTGTAAGTGTAGATGGAGGAAGCTTGCCTTGAGTTTTTAAGTCTACTAGTTTGATTTCACTCTGCAAAGTTGACCTAAAACAGCTTGATGAAGTGATGAGTTTTATTCTACTAGATCTAGTATATGAAATGAGACCCCTTATTTAAATTTAGATAATTGTTTCATTAGAAAAATATTTATTTGGGGTGGCAGACATTTGTGACAAAAATCAGAAACAGTGTTGAGCTTAAAAAAATCCTGGCATGGGAACTCAATGGAACTAAATGTGGCACATCATGTTCACTTTTATATGATGACATTGTGTGATGGAATGAGATTTGGCCTCATCTCATGGTTCGGGAAGCCAGAAGTCTGAAATCAGGTGTCAGCAAGGTTGATTACTTCCTTAAAAATTTTTTTTAATTGTGGTAAGATATATATAGCATAATATTGATCATTTTAACTATTTTAAGTGTACAGTTCAATAGTGTCGAGAACATTCATGTTGTTGTGCAACCAGTTTTAGATAAAATTTTAAGTGAAGTAATCTACTGCAGAAAAGTACACAAATCCTAAACACACAACTCAATGAATTTTCACAGAGTGAGCGTTTCTGTATAATCCAACCTGGATCAAAAAACAGAATATTATTAGTACCCCAGGAGTCCCTCCTAGTTAATACCCACCTGCCTCCCAGAAGGTTGCTATGAACCTCACTTCTATCACTATAGAAAAAAGTTGTACCTGCTTTTGAACTTTAAATAAATGAAATTATATAGTATGCATTCCTTTGTGTTTGGTTTCTTTTGTTCAATGATGTGTTTGAGAGATTTCTTCATGTCATAGTAATAGTGGTTTGTTTTTATTGCTATGTGGTATATCATTATAAGAATATAGCACAATTTATTTATCCATTCTCTTGTTGATGGATACTTGGATTTGTTTGTACTTTGGGGCTATAATGAGTATTATTATTAACTCAATAAATGCTTTTCTGAGCATTCTTGGAGATGTCTTTTGGAGCACATTTGTAATACAAACCCAGGAGTCAAATTGCTAAATCATAGAGTATTATTGTATTCTAATTTAGTAGATATTGTTAGAAGGTTTTAAAAAGGAGTTGCACTAGTTTCCATTTTCACCAGCTTTATATTAGAACTCCAATGACTTTACATCTTTACTTGGTTTAGTTTGTCTTTTTCATGTAGCCATTGAATAGGTATATGGTGGAATCTTACTGGAGTTTTAATTTGCATTTCCCTGCCAAACAATAAAATTGAACACCTTTTCATATGTTTATTGGTCATTGGGATAACCTCTCTGATGAAGCATCTGCTTAACTCTTTTTTAAAAAGTTTGGTTTATCTGTCTTATTCTTATTGATTTGTAGGAGTTCTTTATATACTCCAGGCACAAGTCATTTACTATATATATGTATCACAAATATCTTCTCACTCTGTGGCTTACTTTTTCAGTCTTTCCCCTAATAGTGCCTTTTGTTCATCAGAAGTTTTTGATTTTTATATGGTCCAAATTATCATTTTCCTTTGTAGTCAGTGCTTGTTTGTGTCCTGCTTAAGAAATATGTATCTACCCCCAAAGCCATGAAGATATTTCCCTGTTATTTTCTAGAAGCTTTATTATTTTACCTTTTACATATGAATCTACAATCCACCTGAAATTTTGCCTTGCTTTTTACAAATACATTTATTGTAATGTTTCAATACTAAATCATTCAGGTATGCCAGAGAAACCTGGCTTCCAGGGAACAACTTCCATGTTTATTTATTTTGTCTTTCTGAGAAAATACTCTTTTTGCCCCAATATGTAAAGAGATCAAAGAAAGATAAGCTCAGCCTCATTTTATTGACAACTACGCAAGTGTTAGAAAACTGTTAGTGTACCTAAGGTTTGTGGAGCTTCCTAGAACTTTATCCTTAGGATGGGATGTGACTTGATTTTGCACTCCTCTTGGTATTTTCCTTCCTTCCTTCCTTCCTTCCTTCCTTCCTTCCTTCCTTCCTTCCTTCCTTCCTTCCTTCCTTCCTCCCTCCCTCCCTCCCTTCTCTTTTCTTTTCTTTTTGTTGGAGTCTCATTCTGTCACCCGGGCTGGAATGCAGTGGCACACTCGCGGCCAATCCAGTGTCTACCCACTGGGTTTCCACCATCCTTCTGCGTCAGCCTTCCACGTAGCCAGAACTACAGGGGGGCGCTACCGCACCTGGCTTTTTTTTTTTTTTTTTAATTGTAGAGATGCGGTCTCACCAAGTTGCCTGAACTGGTCTCGAACCTCTGGACTCAAGCAATCCACTTGCCTCGGTCTCCCAAAGTGCTGGGATTACAGGCTGAACCAACAAACCCGGCCTATTTTTCTAAAGGTGAGACTGAGCATAAGCATTTCCCTTTTGCTTGAGGGGTAATGTATGAATCTGTTAACTCCTTTCTTGTATTCATTTAAAGAGCTATGGGTCGCTTACCTGTCACTTAAGACTTGTAACTCATCTTTCCCTGGCTGAAGGCAATGGGTGGTCTCTGGTCAGACAGCATTCTGGCTGCATGGCCTTTGATGGGGGCATTTCTCCTCTGATTAGATTATTTTCACTTTGGTCATGAAGTTTCCTTTTCCATAAGTTGGGAACCACCTCCAAATATCTCAGTAGTTGAAGTCATCTGTGAGATCCTGTGAAATGGAGAGCTGTTTTAAATGTTTTTCATGCTTTCTCCTTCACTACCACCCCACATGCCTCCAGCTGCCTCCCAGCTCCATCTCCTTTGTCAGCTTGATGGATTTTTTCCATTTATAGTGTCTGCTGAAAGTCACTTTTCCTTTGGCATGTACTGCCACATTTTTTATCTGTCTGCCTCTTTTGACTTTTTATGCCCATTGTATATAATCATCAGTAGCTTTATTGGGCTGTCATTTGGTTCTGAAAGTGATCTTGCTCTTTTAAAACAAATAGGTTTATCTTTTTGCAAAAATGTATCTTTTTAGAGTCTCAGGGCCCTTGTTGTTAGTTTGATTTTGTGACACTCTTCTCCCAAAAAACAAGGGCAAAAATGTACAAAGTCTGCTTCTAAAAAAGTAACTTTAAATTAATTTGGTCTTGAGAAAAGGTCAAGAAGTTTGCAATCTCATCACTAGCGTGAGAATGAGCAGAGTTGCTTCTAGTTCCATCTCTGCCATGAACTAACTATATGACCTTGACCTTATTTTTCTAGGTCTCAGATTCCTGACCAGTTAAATAAAGGAACTGGCTCTCTGAGGGCACATCCAGCACTATCCTTATTGAATTTTCTAACAAATGGACACAGTCAAGGGTAAAAAGTCAGATTTAGTTCTAGTTTACTTTTTTTAAGGCTTTGTTCAAAAAATTTGTATATGAAGATAGTCTATAACAGAAATCAATTTTACTAAGTTTCATCACAAACACATACACACATTTTAAAAGAGCAATGGCTTACGTCGACTTAGTAATGTTCGATATAACAATAAAAGCCAAGTACAAAAAAAAATGACTTTGGGAAGTTTTTTGGCATTAACTTCGGATTTAACCTATTAATTTATTTTGTGTAGAATCATTCTGATGTTAATGAACATTTCAATTTTTAAAAATATTTCACTAGGTTTGTTGAAGTTAAATGTATAGTATACATTGCTATTTCCTTCTTTTGACAGGCAGTTTTAAAATATTTATTTTTTAAGAGCTTCTTGGGACATAGATGTCTGAGGAGTGGTTGCTATGTCAACGCACATTTACTAGGCTTCTTCTATGTGCCAGACATTGTGGAGATGACAAAGACATATTATAAGACATGACTATTGTCCTGAGGAAGTCTAAAGCCTACTTGGACAAATCAGACTTAAAGAAATAAAAATGTAAATAATAATTAAAAACCATAGTTCCCAGGTATTTTTTTAGAATCTGATAAAGTGATTCTAAAGTTCACTGAGAAGTATAAATAGGCAAGAACTGCCAAGACAATATTGAAAAAAAAAGAAAAGCATTGGTTGGGGGAAGGGGATGCTTACACTACCATTATTCAAAAGCACTATAGAACCATTGAATTTTTTTAAAAAGTCTGCAACACTCTGGGATCAAAAAAAAAAATTGAAACAGATCCGTGTGTGTGTGTGTGTGTGTGTGTGTGTGTGTGTGTGTGTATCAGTGAGATAAGGTAATATGGAATAATTTATAAACTCTTAGGAAGTAATAAGAACCAATGCTTTCTATATACATTAAAATAAATTTCAGGTGAACTAAAAGTTAAATATAAAAATGAATAGAAGAAAATATAGGTGAATCTTTATGTAAGTTTGGTGTGAGAAAGGCCTTTTAAGCCAACACAGCTAAGGGAAAAGATTGTTAGATTTGACCAATAACAAATTTAAGATATATTTTATGCATCCAAAAGTCTGGACATACAGCTAGATAGAGAAATCAGTTCTAGGGTTCTATACCCCTGCAGGATGACTATAATTAACAGTAATGTATCATATAGTTTCAGATAGCTACAAGAAGGATTTTGAATGTTCCCAACACGAAGAAGTGATACATGCTTGAGATGATGAATGTCTAATTACCCCAATCTGATCACTATGCATTGTATGTATTGAAACTTCACTATGTAACCCATGAATACAAGCAATTATTTGTCAGCTAAAAAAAAATTTTTTTTAAAGATACAAAATACACTAACCATAAAAATAAACAAATAAATACATTTTCTAAGGATATTCTAAATCTTGATTGTGATGACATAGGTAAATACATCATCAAAGTCACCAAACTTGACCCTTTGAACGACTGTATTTTTTTACATGCAAGTTATATTGCAACTTTTTTGATTTTTAAAAACAATTAAAAGGTAAACTATTGACTAGGAAAATAGTTGCAACATTTATGACAAAAATTTTGTAGAATAAGAGAAATGTTCAGTGACAAAATGGGCCAAGGACAGAAGCAGGAACAACAAAAAGATGAACTATGTGAAAACAGATTGAACTCCATTAGTAACTGCAGTGTGCAAAACTGAAGCATGAGGATGTCATTCTCACGAACCACAGAGGCAAGGAGGAAAAGGAATAATACAAGGTGTTTGACAGTATGCAGGGCTTATAGACTCTCTCTGTAAATGACATTTCAGTGAGATATAATGAAGAAATCCATAAATGTTCACATTTTGAAAGTTACCAAGTAAATGCACATAGGTACACTTACTGATTCTGGAGCCTCCATCTCCATTCTAACCTTTTATCTCTGCTATGGCTCTGTCCCATTCCTTAGCAACCTCTTGCTCCTTGAGCCTCCCCCTCTCTTCCTTTATCACTGAACCTCATTCCATTCTTAAACCTCACTCTGTCTCTCACTCTTTCTTGTAATTTCTACTTTTAAACTTGTATATATCCACAATTATTCATTGCAGCGTGTATTCGCTTTTGTTGTGTAACATACCACCCCAAATCTTATAGTAGTCATTAAATTAGTTCACAATTCTGCAGGTCAGCTCAGTGTTTCTCCTCACTTGGGTTAGCCTGGCCAATCCCTGTTGGGCCTTGTCATTTGTCTAGGAGAAGCTGGATAATTGGCTGGACACTGGGTAACAGAGGATAACCTCCTCACAGGCCTGGTGGTCAGCAAGCTGTAGGCAGGGCTGGCAGGGGTAACAGGGACCCCTAGCTCCCATTATCCAGCAGGCAGGTCCGCACTTCTTCACATGTTGGCATTTGCAGGTTCCTCAAAACAGCAAGAGAGCTAGCTCCCGTGTGTGAGTTCATGCTAAGTCTCTGCTTGTGCATGCTTGCTAACATCCCATTGGCCAAAGCAAGCCATGTGGTCAACACAGTCTTGAGGAGTGGAATAATAGACTCCACCTATTGATGAGACAAAATCTCTACAAAACCCTAGGTCCTCTTCTTAGACAACAGTCAACCTAATCCTGTGTCAAGACTCTATGGTTAATTAAGACCTCAAGGGTTCCCTCCCACTTCCCTACTGGACACCTAGTTGCTTGATTCTTGCTGGCTCCATGGCCCCATTTGATTGCCTATCATTGGCCTCACTCTGACCACTGGGAAGCACACACTGCTTTATTCTTTATATGTCCAGGTGTAGAGCCTTTTCTCTGTGGCCTGCAGATGCTAGGAATACAGGATGAAACATTTTATTACAACCCAGCCTGTTGCTGCAGTGATATGAGCATGCCTTAGGCTTGGGCAGCCTTTGGTATAGATAAGGCCATGTCCTATTGATCTCTAGAAATCATCTCTGCAGAGGCCCTATCTGTCTTCTCATTGGGAAGTGGATCTTCTCCTTCCCAATAGTGTGTGTGGCTTCCAAGCTGCTTCCATAGATTCTTGAACTAGTTCTAATCTCTACTCACAGGCAGCCAAGTGGAACTTCACTGGACCTCTGTCACTTGAATAGCCCTGGCTCCCTGACATCCATGGAGATGTCACTCCTATGGCATCACTTGAGCCTGCTGGGTGCTGCCACTGTGCCCCTACCTCATCACTGATGGTTCTAACAGAATTGGAGGCTATGGCCATCACAAGCTCCACCAGGGAAATCTGCTGACCAAGGTTTGATGTCCAACCTCCCACTGTCGCACAGGGTGGTGGTTTAGCTGATCTGTTCCTGCTGTCCTCTGGGTAAACCTTTCTAGTTCACTCTGGAGAACTGAAGGTAAGAGTGGTGTGCTCCACACAAAAACTGCCTGTGTCCTAAATTGTAATAGCACTAGGTGCTATAGTTCTGTAAGTTCAAACAAATCTGAAGTCACCTCCAAATATACCAGAGCACCCAGGTGAACAGGTCAGGGTAGATTCCAGTATTAACAACGTGCTATATTTAGAATCAATTCTCTTCTCTGTCGTTTACACTCTGGGACATAACGTTCATCCAGGGCTAGATTTCCAGGGCTGTCACATATAATTTGCATGTTGTGTACTGCACATATTTAAAAAGAGATTAAGAAATAAATGGTGCACCGATGTTGTTCAGTGCATAACCTGCACAATGGTTCATAGTGGTTCCGAGTGCCTTCCTAATGAGGAGCTTCTTCTCTTGGGCTCTGCTGTCTTCTTTGCAATATGGCCCAGTGCAACGGAACTGCTTTCCAATTTTTGACCCTCAAGAGGCTCAGAGATCTATTCTCTTTCTCCACCCCTACCCACAGTACTAATTAACTGCAATAAAGATGTGCAAGGGCAGAGAGATGCTGTCAGAATTCTACTCACAGCAGCAACTGAACCCCAATCAGTGGTCTGGCGAAATATCCTCCTCCAGTTATAAGAAGCTCTTATCTCTTCAGATGCTCAAATAATTGTGAAGTGTAGAGACTAGTAAGGTTTGAAGATAAATAAGCATTCCTCCTACCTGCGTCCCTGCCAAGTAGCCTGGAATCGGAAATAGAGTCGTCACTAGAGTCACAGCCCCCATTTTTTCTTGACGTCAGCATCTCTTCTGCTCCTTCCTGGATGGAGACCATCTGCCACAGCTCTCTCCGTCTGTGCCTCCTTTTGTCACTGCTGAAAGGACTTCCAGTGGAGATCTAGGAATAGTCTCCATATCTCTATTATTTTCTGTGCCCCTTGTGGTTTTGTGCCTCAGCGACAGAGGCCATCTCTGCTTACCATTTGGACTACATGCCCACAATTCAGGTTCCTGCCATTCGGTACCTTTCTTTGTTTGAACAGAGTCACCGTTGGGCTATCTGCTGTCTGTGAGATACTCAATTGGCCTAATGATACAGCATGCACAGATATTCACCACACAGTTCCTGGCACCCATGGAGACAGCAGGCCTGTGGAGGGTCGAGGCTGCTCAGACAAGCTGGCTGAAAACGCTGGTGAACAATTATGTCTATATATAGGACTGACCTGGCTGTACCCCCGGCTGCCAGCTTTGATACCATTCTTTTAGACATTTTGAGATCCCAGGTTTCCTTCAACATTTTGTTCAACTAAATGTTAAGGCTGCTTATAAAGCACTACCAGGTACCTCATTACACCCTTATTTGATTTCAGGGCAGCAACGATTAGACAATAACCCGGCCCAGATCTTCATGCTGCACTGGGTCAGATTCTGGTTTCAGCTCTGCATTGGACTGGCTATGTGAGCCCGAAAGTCACTTAACCTCTTGGGTCTTTGTTTTGTCATATCTAATATAAAAAGACTAGACCAGCAGAGAGGAGAGAAAATTGGCTCTGGAGGCTGGCAGAACTGGGTTTTAACCCCAACTCCCCACCACTTTCTAGTTGGTCAAATTGTTTAATGCTGAACTTTACTTGCTTCCTCTTCAGCAAAATGGACAAGTTCATACTTACTGGGCAGGACTGTAAGAGGATTAAATAGGAAAAAACCCAAAACCCAAAACCAAAAACAAATACCCAGTAGGTATTCAACCAAATGCCAGTATTTCCTTGTTCTCTGAAGATTTCTGTCCAGTTTTGGTAAAAACTCTGGATGTGGAGTTAGGAAACTTGGATTTAGGTTTCAAAGGTCTCAGCAAAGTGCAAGCCTCAGGTTCCTCATCTGTGTAATGGCATTATTGCTGTTAGGATCAAGTGGGGTAATATATGCTTTTGAAAACATAAGACTGTACCAATCAGAATGTGGGGGTACCTTCTCTAGATTACACTTAGGTGTAATGAACTTTTGCCACTGCATCCTCCATACTCAACCCTCAGTTGCACATATTTAAAACCCCCAGCAGTGACTATGAATGGAATATGCCTTCTCAGATAGTTTACATTTCTGTTTCCCTTTCTCAGCCTACCCCTCAACTAGGTATCCTGAAAATGCTTGGACAATCACCACCACCCCAGGAGATTCCCAGGAATCAGGTGTCCAACAAACGAGTCTTTACCTATGTTCCCTTACCTCAGGTACCCAATGAATGAGTTTTTAACCTACGTTCCCTTATCTCAGTCATTCAATGAATGAGTCTTTACCCATGTTCTCTTACCTCAAGTGCTTTAGTGATGATGGAGCAGAAGCCAGCAGCAAGCCTCCAAGATAAACAGATGATCCTCCTTGGAATTCCAGCCAGTTGGGTACTTAGGCTTCTGTGTAGTGGATAACCTGGTATAAAAACAGAATACTCTGTTCGCGGACTTTGAGAGAAGTTGGGAGAAGGAAGACATCATTTCCCAAATTTTCCTCCCCTGTTTCTTGAAGCCTGGCATTCCCGGCCATCCAGTGGCCCTTCTTCACAATGGGACTTGGCATGCCTTGTATTCGCCCTCATGCTTCTCTACCTCTTTCTTTTCAGGCATTCCTTACTGCATCCAACATCTCCTTTAAGTGTTTGGCTAAGCTGCTGGGACCTTAACGCTTTTGGTATCTAGATACATATTCTTATAAGTGGTTAATTTGGGAATGAAAGAATCCCCTTGCTGACACACCAGACAGATGACCAGAAAGAAATTTCATTAGATTGAGTAAATGTGACTAAAAATGACTTTTCACTGTTGGGATCTATGTGGAGTTAGTCTTAGGTGTTCACTAAAGCAGTACATTTTTGCAGTTGTAACAATCCTTGGTGAAAGTGTCTTAGAGGCCGAAAAAACAAGCAAAAATGGATGCACAAAATGAAAATGTTTTCTAGATGTTTATGAAGGGCTGTATTAATGATTCCATCTAGTTTTCATGGAAATGGGCTCCTGTCTCTAAATAAAGAATTGCTCACTCTCTCAGCTAAGGGAGCTCATTATTTTGGCTTTACTAACAATCAAAGAGAATGTCTGACGTACAGTTGCAATTATACTGTGACACAGTAATGCCCTCCCACTGGAAGCTAGGTCCTGGGGGAGGGATGGGGCAAAAAAACGGCCTCAGCAACAGTTCCTCTTAAAAGGCTAAAGGTATCCCCCTCCCCCTTGGAGAGTTGGTCTAAAGGGAGACAAAGGTTCATGACCAGTTTGACACTGTGCTCTAAGAGATAGTCACAAACAGAATCATGCATTGAAGATGGGGACAAAGGATCTACAAGCTCTGGATCCTGCCTTAGCTGTGGGAACTGGGGCTGTCAACACAAAGGCAAGGAGTCTTAGGGCACGTGGCAATCATACACAAAAGGGGTTTCTTTTCTTTTTTTTTTTTTTTTTTT